CCTTAAGCAAACCCTAAACCCTAAACCCTAAACCCTAAACCCTAAGCCCTAAACCCTAAAACCCTAAACCCTAAGCTCTATAAACCCTAAACCCTAAACCCTAAACCCTAAACCCTAAAACCCTAAACCCTAAACCCTAAACCCTAAACCCCTAAACCCCTATACCGGACGAGGCTGCGAAGAACCTCCCCTTGGATGTCCGCGCGCAGCCGCTGGCCGACACCGTGGCGCTGCACAATCGACTCTCTGAGGTCCTCACGTGGGTAATGTAGGGGCCTTAATATTAGGAACCCCAAAAGGACATAAGCATAAGCATTTTATAGGGATATGCCTACCTTATTGGGCTTCATTATAAGGGGATTTTATATGGGATATCCCTATCCGAATGTTTGCTTAGGTGCTTTTTTGGGGCCCTATAATAATTACCTATGGTATTTTGGGGGCTCCGGTATAAAGGACCCCAAAACCCTATTCTAAGTAGTAAGGCCCCTGGATTGGTTCTCTAAAGAGGGTTCAGGCTTCAGGGTTTGGGGGTTTAGGGTTTAAGTTCTCTAGATTAGGGTCACTTTTAACGTCCTTTTCATTTTGGGGACCTGAAAAGGGACCCTATCTTAGATGTAAGGGCTACTTCGATAGTTCCCTACAGGGTTCTATAAGTAAGGGTTTTAGGTTGGGGTTTGGGGTTCAGGTTTAGGGGTTTAGGGTTAGGGTTCAGGAGTTTGGTTTCCTTGAACAAAGGGCTCTCTAGAGAGCTTTTAGGAATTTAGGCTTCAGGGTCCTTTTGGGGGTCTACGTGGCTCGCAGATGTAAGGGTTCCTTCAAGGGTTACTCCAAGATCTTATCCACGGATACCTTTATGTTGGGTCTACGGGGATTCTAGATGTAAGGGTCCTCTAAGGGTTTTAAATTGATGTTATTCATTGGTGTCCTGTTGTATGTAGCCTCTCCCTGTACCCTAAACCCTAAACCCTAAACCCTAAACCCTAAACCCTAAACCCTAAACCCTAAACATAACCTTTCTACAGGGATTCTTTATCGGCTTCTGGCAGGGGCATCCCTGGGGCTTTTAGTCCGAGTAGTGGTTTAGGGTTTAGGGTTTAGGGTTTAGGGTTTAGGGCTTAGGCCTTAGGGCTTAGGGCTTTGGGTTTAGGGTTTAGGGTTTAGGGTTTAGGCCTTAGGGCTTTGGGCTTAGGGTTTAGGGTTTAGGGTTTAGGGTTTAGGGTTTAGGGTACCCTTCCACCCTGTTTGTAGGGAATCCCTCCGAAAGGTGAATCAAGGCATTAAGCTCAAGGCTCCCGGAGTCAGAGGGACCAAAGATTTCGGCGTTATCTGCGAAGTCACCAGAGACGTGGCATAGCTTATGGCTATCTTGGGATGTTTCGAACCGGAACCGTGTCTTTTTGTGACAGCCTTAAGAATTGGGTTGAGGTTGAGGTTTATAGGGTTTAGGCATCAGGGTCATGGGCCCTTCAGTTCTTGCCAAAAGAGAGCCGCCCAGCATGGGACCGCTTTCTTCCCTAAACCTAAATGGGTGGTTGTCAAAATTATGGTCCCTTTGTGGGTCCTTATTATAATACGGCACCTATTATTTAGGGTACCCCAAAAGGGACCATAATTTTGACAACTACCCAAATCTAAACCCTAACAACCTTTTTCAAGAGCTCGGACGACGTCAACCTCTCAAGCCCTATTGAAACCCTACACCAGAGTATGGAATCCTAGACCTACAACGCTAAACCCTGATCCGAGCTTCCTTCATGGCAAACCCTACAGACCCCTAAGCCCCAAATCCCTGAAGCGCTTTTTCCCCTAAAGCCCTAAACTCTGGAAGTGGAGGCCATGAAGAAGATCCTCCCCTTGCGGACCTTCCGCAAGGATTTCCAGGCACCACGGAGTAGCGAGGGAGAGAGACAGAGAGAGATGGAGTGGGAGCGTGTTTGAGCACACTGTGCTGTTTGATGTTCGTGCATATGTGTGCGTGCGTGCGTGTGCGCGCATGTGGGTGTGTGTGTGTGTGCGGAAACCCTAAACCCTGAACCCTGAAAGTTCTGCAGTTGGAAAAGGGCCCGTAAAAAAAAGACCTGAACGTACGAATCCAAAACCCCAAACCCTTCGTATAGCCGTTGAGGAACCCTGCGAGGATCTTTCGGCCCTAGACCTCAAGGAAGGCACCTGCTTAAGCAAAACCCCTTCTTAGTTTAGGGTTTAGGGTTTAGGGGTTTAGGGTTTAGGGTTTAGGGTTTAAGGTGATTGATTCTCTGAGGGCCTTCAGATCGGGATCCCTGATTGAATCCCTCTTCCAGGTGGGGGTATAGCCCTGAAAGGAACCCTCTACAGCCTAAACCCTGAACCATAGAACCATTCACCACACCCTGACGCCTAAAAACCCTACAGCTTATAATAGGGTCCCCACCCTAAACCCTAAACCCTAAACCCTAAACCCCTTTCAGGGTACCTGAAAGGTTCAACAATGCGGTCCCTGAAAGGGTAGCATAGGGCTCAAAACTTGGGTCCCCCTAAAGCCGGTCCCTAAACCCTAAACCCTAAACCCTAAACCCCTAAACCCCTAAACCCCTAAACCCTAAAACCCTAAACCCTAAGCCCTTAAAGCCGGCCCCCTTAAAGCCCCATGTCCGAGAGTTCCAGGAGCGGCTGGCGGCCAAAAGGTCCCTGGACGCCTTCAGCAAGAAGGTGTCAGAGGCGGAGCTGGAGGCAGCCGGGATCCGTCTGTTTCGTTTCTTCAGGCTTTAGGGTCTAGGGTTTAGGGCTATGGGTTTAGGGTTTAGGGTTTAGGGTCTAGGCTTTAGGGTTTAGGGTTTAGGGTTTAGGGTTTAGGGTGTAGACTTTAGGGTCTAGCCTTTAGGGTTTAGGGAGGAGGGCTTAGGGTGTAGGTGGGGGTTCCTTTAAGGGTTCCCTTTAAACCTTGGAGGTGGGATTTAACCTTAAACCCTAAACCCTAAACCCTAAACCCTAAACCCTAAACCCTAAACCCCTGATATCCAGGTTGAGGGCCCCTAAGGTTTCCTTGGGCCGAGTTGAGGGCTTTCGGGTTCCATTCAGGACTTTAGGTTTCTTGAGGGCGGGCGTTAGGCCCTAAACCCTAAACCCTAAACCCTAAACCCTAAACCCTAGCTTTTTTTGGTTCGTGAAGGGCTGTAGAACATGCACCGGTCGGATCCTCGTCTTCCTTGAGGCCTAGATTACTTGGAGGATCATGGGACTTAGTAAGTAAGATTATAGGGTTTAGGGTTTAGGGTTTAGGGTTTAGGGTTTAGGGTTTGGAGGATCATGGGACTTAGTAAGTAAGGTTATAAGTACCCTAATTGGGGTTATAAGTCTAGTTACCTTAGTTATAACCCTAGTTACTGAGTCCCATGATCCTTTAAGTAATCAGGGTCCTGCGGGGTGTTCTATGAGAGACGGAAACTCCGTGCGCTTTGGGGTTTGGGGTTTAGTCCTTTAGACATCTTTAGGGTTTATGGTTATTGAAACCCTAAACCCTAAACCCCTAAATCCCCAAAGCCCAAAGCCCTTGGTTGCAGAGTGTTCTTTGGGATTTAGTTTATGGGGAGAGTGAAGGGTCTTGGGTTGGGGCCTGGGGTCGGAGATGAATTCTGAAGAGTTGGAACATGAGTTCAGGATGATTCGTCACTAGGGTTTAGGGTTTAGGGTTTAGAGTGTAGGGTTTAGGGTTTATGGATGCCTACCCACTTGCCATGCTCTGCGCTGGTGTATGCGTGGTACTACGCAGCAACACAGGCCGTGGACGCTCAGGATAAAGAATGACTGTGGCAGCTGTTCTCAGTTGTTTCGGTGTGGCCTGCCAAATCTGCGTTGCACCAATCTCCAAGCTTCCTTAAGGACGAAAAGAACCCTAAACAGTAGAGGCCCTATGCCCTTATTCTATGAATCCCTATATGGTATATGAACCTTAAACCCTTTTAGGGCTCTTAAGGTCTACTCTACACCTTGAGTAACGTATGACTCCAAAACCCTAAACTCCTTTGACGAACAAGGCTTTCTTACAGCAGCTCAGGAGTTTCTGGGAAGGTACCCTTCGCACTAGCTTCTGTTTTGAATAATGAACAGAGTTTTTTTTGGGGGGGGATGTTGTACTATAATTAGTTTATAGCTATGAGTGCTCACAGTATTCATCGATAGTCGTCATTTCTATCGTGCTCGGTAGTGTCAGGTGGAGAAGGTTGCGATGATGCACACCCTGGCCGAGAACGTTCAGATGTGCGAGGAACGGACGTCTGCAGTTGATGTGAGAATGCAGCTTAAGGCTTGCCTGGACCCTGAAGAACCTACCTTTTGAAGGGTTGAGGGTTTAGGGTTTTGGGTTTTGGGTTTAGGGTTTAGGGTTTAGGGTTTAGGGTTTAGGGTTTAGGGATTTATACAAGGAAGTCAGAATAAGGGGCTCAGCCCCTAAAAAGGCAGGTTCTTTAGGATCCAGGTAAGGCTCCGGGCTTGGATTTCGGGGTCAGGGTCTGTAAACCCCTAACCCCTAAACCCTAACCCAGTAGGTAGGAATCCTGAGGCTGGGGTCCTCCATTAAGAGAAGTAACATCCTAAACCCCGAAACCCTAGAGCCTAAACCCC